CTTTAGGGTCTTTTTTATCATAACTGCCTAGCCAATACTTACCTCCTATTCTTACCACACCATCCTCTGAAGAGGTTACCCAAATTGCCAATAGGGAACTGGGATACAGACCACTCTGGCTTCTTCATGCTGAACAGGTATGCAGGGCGAGGCAATTTGAGCTCAGTGGGTCTATCTAAAAGGCTCCCAAATTGCATAGCTCTTATCTCTGGGGGGAAAAGAAAGTCCTTGAATTGTGAATAGAAGATATGAAGGAGAAGTAAAGGCAAGAGTAATTAGCATTTTAAGTTCTAGATGGGGAACTAGAAAAAAGTCAGAACAGGGCAGTTTTCAAATGTTCCTATGAGAGTCCATTGGAATTTCTTGACAAGGGCTTCCAAAAGCATCCTTCTATTGGGAGTCCAGCATCTACCTTTTTATGGGAGAGTCATCCCTTCTGCTTCCCAGAGTTGACTGTGTTCTTGTTAGATACAAATGATAGAGGAGATGGGCTTGGGGGGAATCTCTATTGTTTAATCTTATTCTGTGACAAGAGGACATCTGAGTCAGCTAATGGTCATTGGACCTGGTCATGTCATTTCATAACTGGGTCACAAATTTGGTAGCAATCCTGGTTCAAGCTGGCAACAGATGGGAGGAGATAAACTTTAAAAATAACCTATTTTAAAACAACTAATCAAAAGGGGCAGGGATGAATCACATAGCTAGATGACAGAGAAAAAGATAAGTAAACAAGGGCCAACAAAAATGTAGCCCAAGACTTTTGAGCACAGCCTGTCTCTTGTATGATCTACTTATGTTGGGGTGAGTATACTCTTAACATGAATAAAGTTTGTTTTACTCTAGTAAACTTTACTCATTGAGACTCTTAATGCATCTTATTGAAATCTTCTCAGCAAGAACCAAGGGGCCCCGCGTCACCTTTAAAGATGCCAAGTGTTCTAGAGTTGGAAGGAGTCTCAACAAGTATGTGATTCTCTCCTCTACATTGCAAGTGAGAAAACAGTACTGTCCCTGAGTAATGAAGCCCAGTCATGTAGCGGCTTCTGCTGAAGGACAATCATCTGCCAATAGCATTGGAACCCCTACTTTGTACCTGACCTTCACCACTTGCTCATCAATGTCAGCTCAGATTTGAGAACTGTTTAAAACGAGGAGTCTTGCATGTATATTTATGGTCCATCAGTTGAACATAATTAATAAGGACGCTAATAACATGAGTGAAAAAGTTTAGGTTAATGCAAATATGTGAACTCTAGCACAGGCCATGTTGCCTCTTCTCTTGTTCATAGTAGTATTTGGGGTTATTAAGGAATTTCTGGGTAATGGGTGTGGTGACAGTGGATGGGAAAAATTAAATCCAAAATTTCTAGTGGGTCTTTTGGGAGCCTGGAAAACAGAATGCTCCCATTTTCTGGCATCAAGCCCAGAGATTGCTGAAGGGGAGTTCCTTGCTTCTTAGATAGATTTCCTACCTTACAGTATGATTTATATGACATGACATAATTCAAAAGGAAAGTCAAGACTAGCAACAGTGACTGTTGGAAATCAGTGTCCTAGTTTGATGACACTCCTGTAGAAAACGATCAGGCATTAACAGTAGTAGGGAAATGGATGGATGGGCGATAGCAGCAGACACTTGTAGTGAGTGTGCATCAGGACCTAAACTAGGGGCCCACAAGCATTATCTTAATAAATATCACCATAAATCTCTGAGAGAGAAACCCCCTTGAATATTTTACAGATGGATGAACTGGACACCTGGATAGAGATTGTCTAAATTGTGGCGGAATGGAAAAAGTTACAAGAGGTCTGGTACAAGCCAAATATCCTGTAACTGTTACTGATGGCATGTGACTTGGCTTTTGGGATGTAGGACTAGAAGATTTGGTAAAGAGAGTCAAGGAAAGCTGAAGAGAAGTTTTAGAACAGAAAGTCAGGAAAGAAGTGGCGTCTGTATTTGACTATCTGTAAAACATTTGTTGATCATTATGTCTGCATTAGGAAGGAAGTAAACAAAAATAACTGCAGGCATCATAGCCTTTTCCTTCTCTCTGTTTCATTCCTCTAGTGCATTGTTAACTGCTTCCAGTTGTTGTTTCTGGAAAGCAACAGTTCAAGTTTACAAATTAATACACTGAATTTAGGACAAAGTTTACCCAGTGAAGAGTCTTGACTATATATAGGCCCTCAATAATATACTCCTTCAAACAGTAGGATCTGCCCTTTGAGACATCCTTAATGGCTTTTTCTGCATCTCTTGCCTCATATATATGTGACCTTCCAGATATAAATACAATAACAACTTTTCTGATAAAATGCAAGTGAGAATCCATGTATGTGTTTGTATATAATGAAATTTTGGTACTTGCATCAGATTCTCTGAAAACCTTGTACTCCTTTATTCAACAACTTCGAATTGAGTGCCAATTACCTATCAGTGGCTGCTCTAGACACTAAAGTTTTTTTTTTTTTTTTTTTTTTTTTTGAGACAGGTTCTCCCTGTAGTCCCAGCTGTCCCGGAACTCACTATGTAGACCAGGCTGGCCTTGAACTCACAGAGATCCACCGGCCTCTGCCTCCTGAGTGCTGGGATTAAAGGTGTGTACCACCATGCCTGGCTAGACACTAAACTTTGAAGTGAGTAAAATTGGCAGTTTCGCTCATGAAACTTGCATTCTAGTGGACAGAACAGAAAATAAACATGCAAGTATGTAACATGTCTTTTGAATGTTACAAAGAAAAAACACTTGGTAAGGGGGTAGGACATGATGTTTCATATAAGTTACAGCAGGAAAAAAAATTTAAATAAATGAAGAGTATATACCCAGTTATAAAGCTTGTTTGGAAACTTATAGGCAGAGGCTGGGAATAGAAACTTGTCTAGCATATATGAGGCCCTTGATTGGATATCACTAACAACAAAACAGATGAATGAGCAAACAAACAAAAATGTCAACTAAAACCAAAATCCAAACCAAACCAAAACAAAACAACCCCAAAATGAAACAAAAAACTTTACAAGCAGGCCATTGTGTCTGGAACATGTATTGCTAGCTTTTGTTAATATAATAAAATATTTGAGGCAGGATACTTTACAAAGAGAACAAGTTTATTTTGGTCCACATGCCTATGCAGCATGTAGACTTTTGCAAATTTTCCCCCATCCCTGCTCAGCATACTATGGCAGGAGTATGTGTGTAGCACTCTTTGTGTGTTCTCCCTCACTCTTCTTGTAAATCAACTGGATTCAATCCAGGAGCTCTCTCCTAATGACCTAATCTCATCATTTCTAGTAGGCTACACTCAAAACACAATAGTTGGTTTAATTTTCACCTTTTTACTTTGATTAACTTCGGACTTTGGGAAACAAATTCCTGCATCAGTTGCTGAGCCTTAAGCCGTAACAGAGCAGACTAAGGATAAATTTGGTAAGATGATTTTAGAGAGGAGTTGAAGAGCGATAGCGAATCATGAGGCGACAGTATGAAGACGGGGACATTTAATCTGAGAGGGATGGAAAACTATTATAAAGTGTAGAAAAGAGGACCTCTGGTGGTTAGGGAGGACCAGACTGAAGCAGTGTCCTCTGGACATCACAGGACTACTGCACTCATGAACACGACAGCTGTGGTTGACTGTAGAAGACCTGTGCAAGATCAAGCCAGTCAACAGTTTAGCATGGAGGACAGAGGGGCTTACAAATCTCTACCCTTAACTGAGGAGCTGTGAACAGTCGATGGCTTCTGGGTGAGGAAGAGACAATCTTTAGGGTGTGGCTCATGATAGGTCAACCATGTTCCAGTAGATGGCCCCATCCATATGAGTATCTTTGCAGCACAAATTGGACTGGGTGGGTTATTAAATAAAGCAAAAAAAGAGAGGACACGAAGTTGGATGGGGTGGATCTGAGAGGAGTTAGGGGGTGGAGTAGGGGGCGAATATGATCAAAATACATTGTATACAAGAGAATTCTTAAAGATTTAATAAAAATATCATATTAAAAAAGAAAACGAAGTTATGAACAATGAAATAGGAAACTCTGGTGTTTCCAGTACAGTTATATCTCTGACTAGTTTGTGACAGGGTAAAGAGCTATCTAGTCTAATACTTTTGCAAACCACTTATTTTCCTTTGTTACAAAATGTGTGGACATTTGAACAGAATGATATCTGAATCATTCATGGCTATTTGGTTGTAGCAACAGAAATCAACTTTAGAAAGCAAATTTATTTGGAAGGTATGGGTAGCTTACTGATCTATGGAAATCATAGGCATAAAAACAAATAAGAATCAAGGCATTTGGAGCAGAGAAGGTTGGCAGGTGGTGATCTCAGGAGCAGGAACTCGACCCAGGATCCTTAGAACGCTACCACTGGAATTAATGAGATCTAAACCTATCCTGTCTTCTCTTCCCTTTTCCCCCACATTCCTGTCAAAGTTTCAGTCTGTGGCCCAGGCTGTGGTACTAGGAAAAGTACTGATTGACAGACCCTCTCATCTAGTAACCAAAGAAAGTCTAATGGATGCTGGCTTGCTAGCATCCTGTGAATTTTATGATGCTAAGCTTAGAACTATCTTTGATCATAACTCTTATGATTTTGACACAGTTTCTCTGTCTCTTGTGCATGTGCTTCTTCTTAACTTTAATTTTATAACTTGGTTTAATTTTTTGTTAATGGCAAAACTGGTACCCTTCTTGTTCCTTACTTAACCAATTCTAAATTGCTAGATATTTGTATTGTTGCCACGAAAAGTTTTTCTTATCAACAAAGCTTTGGTAAATAGTTATGTTTTACCTAAACTGGATTAATAATATAGTGTTTCTATCCCTGGGTGTATTATCTACCCTGTTGAGCTTCTAGAACATAATTCAGTATAGAATAAGATCAACTTCAGAGGTTCATTACAAATGAAAGAAATTCCATCAGACATTGGAACTGTCAAAACAGGTGAGCCTCATTCTCCCAGGGACTGACTGCTTACTGTGTGTCTACCAGGTGGCAAGCTGATCTTCATGGCTCCAGGACCCCTCGAACTTAGAGCCCACTCCATCCTTGTTACAGATGGTGGAGTGCTCCAGATTGGATCTAAGGAGAAGCCTTTCCAAGGCAAAGCTCAGATCAAACTCTACGGGAGTTCCCATTCTGCCAACTTCTTTCCCTATGGAGCCAAGTTTCTGGCTGTGAGGAATGGAACACTTTCATTGCATGGTAAGTAGATAACCCATGAGACAAAATGAAATAGGCCTTTCTCTAGCAAACTCATGGACAATGGATATTTATAAACTATTTTTTAAAAAATCTATCAATTCATTGCTGAGTTAACAGGTCAATTAGAGCCAAACACTATTTCCTTAAATAACACATGAAATTGGTGTGATTCCTGTGGTGTACTGTGCAATGGTCTCTGTAAGGGGACTGATTACCTTTGTTCTCTGACAGGTGGCTCTCACTGCCTCCCTGAGGATGAACTATATTCACTGTCCCAGTGAGGGTGAACTTACACTGGCAAGTCCATGGTTTGTGGAATGTGAATAAAAATAATCTTCTGCATAGGCACATGGAGGCTCTAAAGGCTGTTGTGATGCTTTTGGTAGCCATTTGGCTCTTTTCTTTCACTTGAGAATAGCCTGTCCCACCAGAGCAGTTCTTTGAACTTAGGAACCTAGATGAAAACAACAGGGGCCAGAGTGGATGACTGCTGTTGTATATGTGAATGAGGAGTAAAACCTTTACAAAAAAATAAGTCACAGGGCTAGAGAGATGACTCAGGGTTTAAAGTACTGGTTGCTTTTGTTGAGGACTTGGGTTCATATCCCAGCACTCAATGGCAGCTAACAGCCATCAGTAATTCCAGTTCCAGGGGATCTGATGCTTTCTGCTGACCTCCATGGGCACTGCACACTATGGGCGCACTTACGTACATGCAGGCTATACATTCATATACATAAAATAAAAAAATAATTAAAAAACCCAGACCACCACCAATAAGAATAATAAACAAGTTACTGAATCGCTGTAGTAACTCTGAAAACTGACTGATGCAATTATTTAGAAGACACTGATGTTTCTCAATAGAAAATATCCTGGCATCACAAACCACTTCAAAACAAAAACAACTTCATTTTGTTTTATTGTTCAGCTCTTTTTTTCCTCATCACCACCCCGTTCAGAGTTCAATTACAATTTGTACTTAAAAATCTTCCTACAGATGTGCTGAGTGTTTATGGGTTCCTGGGAGAACATAGGCTATGGTGCGTTTTTGTTTCAAGTTTCCTTGCTTCAGATCACCTAATTCCACTTTGCAAACTGAATGTGTGTTTTTTTTCTTAAGAACCAGAAATTAATGTGTGCAGGATATTAGTATCTATTAGAAAATATAAGAATAAAATGGTATTTCATCAGGTACTTATGAACATTTGGTAGCCTGGCCTGAGCCAACGCCAGATCAAAAGTGTGGGCTCCCGAATTGGGGAGGTAGCTCAGCACATAGCATGTAGAAGACTCACAATCCCAAATGTCCAAAACAAAATGAAATGAAACAGCCCAGGAATGTGGGCTCCAGAGAGTGGCCTGAACTCCAGAAGATGTGTGATCTACATCTACATTTCTGTATTGGCAAGACAAAATGAAACTGATCTGCAATAGATTGTTTTAGATGTGGGCTTGGATCTGACCTGGGCTGAGCTGTCTAATGTTGTTCTCAGTTCAGGTTTTGTATAAACTGTGTGTCCTAATCATTGCTTACTAAAAAGTGCTCTCTGGGAGGGAGCAAGACTCTTTCTTCAGTATTAAGTATTGACAGTGGGTCAGCCAGTGTTCTAGAAATTGAATATCAAAATTTGCAAGGTTATAATACCTATAATTATCTGGATGGGAATTTAAAATTTCTGATATATGAATTCTTATATTCTACTTCAGGATCTCTTTGTCTCTTAGCTTCGTTGATCTGTGGCCTAGGATCTATGAATGCCTCCTACCTATTTATCAGCCATGGTCTTCAAGTGATTAGTCTGGTGGTCACATAGGACACCAACCCAGTGTGCTGTTGTTTTAAGCTATAGAGCATCCAAAGGAACTGAAGCTTAACGAAGTCTTCAGGTTGGACAGCACTGTGCCTTACAGTGCCAATGGCTCAACTCCTGTCGAAATTGGAATTCAAGTGAAAAATAGTGCAAATTTTGAGAATTCTCTGCCTCTTTCATTTGAAGTTCAATGTTCAAGTATGAATTATCAGTACAAAGTTTGTGCCTGTACTTTAAATGTTCCCTGTGCTTATAAGCCTTTTTAAATAAGAGAATGTCAAGTCAAATAAAATCTACATTGCCATTGTCTATGGTCAGTACATTAAGGAAAAGTAGATACTGCAATTAATAATGCATTTTGAGATTTTAGGAAATTAAAGCAAAGGTTAGTGTGGCTCTGGGACATACACCCTGGATAATGAGAAGGTGTGTTTTTCTCTGCCTCTCCTTCCTACCTTGTTTTCCCTCTCTTCTCCTTTTGCACTTCCTTTTCATTTCCTTTCTCCCCATCTTCTTTTTCTCCTGTTCACCTTTCTTTCCTCTAACATACTCAGACCTGCCATCAACAATGGCTTAACCCATTCCCTAAATCCCTTTCCACAAAGGACGTCTAGAATGTCAAGTACTGCAGAATGTGAACATGGAACATAGGTGAAGGGAAGCTGTGTTTTCCTTAATGTGATAATTCTGCATCTTGTCCACCCGAAGGAAATATTCCATAGGAAAGAAAGCTTAGCCATCAGGGCAAGAGGGATTCCGTTCCTGCCTCATCTATCAGAGAATCACAATCCCACGTGTACCTCATCAATCCTCTCTCTCTCCAACTCTCTCTCACCATCTGAGGTCTCAAGCAGATTTCCCTTCAGGCGTGGTGGTATATCATGGTTAAAATCGTTACGTAATTTCACTGGCCTTTTCCCAGGGCCAAAGGTGGGTCTGGTGACACTGAGGTGCTAGAGAAAAACTAATTTTCTTTTGCTGTCAAATATGCAAAAGAGTGAACAACTTGATTCACTGCCTTGTACACAGAAAGTCCCTAATAACCCAATGCTCACTTATCTTCCAGGGGAAAAATGTAGTTAGGCCATTCACTAGCTTTGGTTGATAAAAGACACTTCAAGAGAGAGTTTATAAATTTAGATTTCTGAGTATCATTCCAAGATGCAGTGGACGTGGGGTTGGAGAAGGAATTAACACTTCAGAGGACCCCACAGACACTGAATCAAAATCAAACCACATGTCGTACAGTGAACACTGTGATTGGTAGCTGTGAAATCAGAAATTAGTTCAGTTCTGTTGTTTTTCAGCTATAATTCTGGGCAAAATTGATTTATACAAAACCAGTAAACACAGCCATCACCCAACACCTACTGCTTACAGAGTGGTTCACAGCATCGGCTACACAACTCACATACGATGTCAGTATTTCTTGGTTTCATTATATTCTTTTAATTTTTTACAGAGTCGTTGGGTAGCAGTGCCAGTTATCTAGCATTTTCTTTCTGAGGTGAGGAAATCCTGAGGGAGTAAAGACTTCTTATTCAAGATTTGTCACATGGCCCACTCTGCCAAGCACTTTTTAATCTTATTAATTTTTGTATCTATCTCTTTTCATCAGAGAGGATTTAGCCTTGAAGCTCATCAGACAGAAATATTCCCATGTACCTTCTGTTCTGTTCTCACTACCCAGTGGACACCTTCAGATTTTAATCTCTTATGGTGCAGCTGCTTCTCAGTATAGGAGAACCACGACTAGGTGTGGTTACAATGAAGTCTTCTCAGAAAGCGACTGCATGAGCCCCAGCTTAGTCAGAAGGACACTGTCCAGCAAACGAAGCCCTTTGGAGACTTGATTGCTAACATCTAGGAGTAAGGGGACTGGGATTCTAATTTAACTCCAGCGTGGGTCATATAGGATCAAACAACTGGGTCAGCATGTCAGTAACAACACTCTCCCTAGTGTCCCCTCCCTGCTCATTCTTCATTATTGCCCTTTGTAACCCTTCTGCTTCAGTTGATTTTGATCATAGATTAAAATTGCTAGGCAAACGGACTTTGCTGTTCAGCTGTCACGAGCAAGGCTGGAGCTGAATTCACATTTCATGTCTTTATTTTAATGCAGAAAACCCCACACTCTTAAGCACTCATGCACACATATGCAGCATGGTGTTTTTCCATGTACATGGAAGTGGGTCAGGACGAGGCATGTTTTAAATCACAGGAGTGAAGATTTTTCAATATGTTCTGTCATGTGCTCACTCTGATATGTTAATATGACTAAAGTGTCCGGAGTTGGGGGTCTGGGGTTTGAGTATATGGAGTCAATAAAAAGATTTCACTCTTGCCTTGGCCACTCCATCTGCCAATCCAGTTTCACCACCCAAACCGTGTGCCAATCACTTGTCATTTTCAAAGAGGTCATGTCAGCCTGGGCAACTTGAATTTTTGACAATGTAATTATGGCTCTTGCTTCCACAGTGGGAGTCTGAGCAGGATGGAGAGGCTTTTATTGATTGTTCAGCAGGGAAATTTATCAATGTCTCTCATTTCATTTCCACTTCCTCCCTGAGAAATTTGGCTGACAGTTTCTTTGGAGAGAAACAGTTTTACAGCCTTGACTGGGCTCTTTGTCCTTCCCAAGAAATTACAAGATACAGGCATTAAATATAAGTGAAAATACTACCTGCAGAATATGATTGAGGAAAATATAGTGAAATTGCTATGCGTGTAATAATTTAGTAGTAATAAACAAGAAAGAGGGCTACTTAAGTAAGTAAATGACTTGTTTTCCTTCTGAAAACTTCAAATAACTGTATTTCAACTCGACGCCTTTTCAAATGACATATCACATTCTATTGTTGCAACTGTAAAAGAGTAGCAGGCTGGCTTTAAGCATGGCACACTGCTTGTGGGGCAGTGGAGAGGAGAGTTTTCCTGGTTAGTGATTTTTGTACTGTGTTCACAAAATCCACATTTCCCAGGAGAGCTCCAGGGCCTCCAAACACAGATACATATTTGGGGGTCAAGTAATAAAAGTTAAATTGCACAAGAAATCAATGCATTGCCTTTATCTCTATTTTGTTTGTCTTCAAAATAATATTTCATTAGAAAGAAAAAGAGTTCCATTTTGAGAAAAATGTGATTAAAGGCTCTATTAAGGGCTCAGTAAAGTACTCGTCACACAAG